AAAAAAGGAAAAAAAAAAAAAAAAAAAAAAAGAAAAGCCTTGCGTGGAGAGGCCTCAAATGTGTGAGATGTTTTGGAGCTGTTGGCATCACAATCTGGGTAAATGGTAGTCTGCATTTGAGTACCCTCCTTCTCCCACCCTTGTACCTGTAAATGGCTAACAGCGTTTTGGACACTTCTAAAGGTCTCAACCTCACCCTCTTGTCTGAATTGAGATTGCTGCCTGACTCCTTTTTTTAAAACAGCTTTATTGAGATATGATTCACATACATACAATTTATCCATTTAAAGTGTACAATTCAATGGCACATGAGTATATTGACAGAGTTGGGCAAACATTATCACAGTAGATTTTAGAACATTTCATCCCCCCGCAAAAAAAACTTTGTATCCTTTAGCAGTAACCTTCCATTCCCGCCCCAGTCCTAGGCAGCCACTAATCTACTTCCTGTCTGTATAGATTTGCCTATTCTGGTTATTTTATATAAATGGAATCATACAATATGTGGTCTTTTGTGACTGGTTTCTTTTGCTTAGCATAATGTTTTCAAGGTTCATCCATGTTGTAGGATGAATCAGTTCATTATTCCTTTCTATGGCTGAATAACATTTCATTGTATGGATATATACCACATTTTGTTTATCCATCAATCAGTTGATGGACATTTGAGTTGTTTCTACTTTTTTGTTCTTTTTTTTAATTGAGTAAATATTTTTATTTATTTATTTATTTTAAATTTTATTTTGTCGATATACAACGTGGTTGATTATTACTTTTTTGGTTTATATGAACAACGATGCTGTGAAAATCTGCATACAAGATTTTTGTGGGCATATGTTTTCATTTCTCTTGGGTAGATATCTGGGAATAGACTTGATGGGTAATGTGATAACTCTGTGTTTCACCTTTTAGGAATTGCCAAATTGTTTTCCAAAGTTTATGCACTATTTTATATTCCCACCAGCAATGTATGAGGCTTCTGTATTCTCCACATTCTCTCCAGCACTTGTTATTATTGTCTGTCTTTTTTATTATAGCCATTTTACTGCATGTAAAGTGATAGCTCGTGGTTTCAATTTGCATACTCCTGATGGCTAATGATATTGAGCATCTTTTTATGTGATTATTGTATTTCTTCTTTGGAGGAATGTCTATTCAGATCCTTTGCCAATTTTTAATTGGTTATTTGTCTTTTTATTATTGAGTTCTTAAAATTCTTTATATGAGTATATTCTAGATATAAGTCCAATATCAGATATATAATTTGTAAATATTCTCTCTCATTCTCTGGGTTGTCTTTCCACTTTCTTGTGCTTCCTGGCTGTTGCAGGGCTCCAGAAAGCTGTTCCCAGAAATTACTATTTTTGTTGGCTGAGACAGCCCATAATAGAGTCAGAGAAAAAAAAGGTATAAGCTAGAGATGTGTTCCAATATGAAGACTTAAGAACAGCACAGCTCTGTTTATGCTATTAAGTAATGGAGAGGGTGTGTTCCAATTTGCCCTAAAGAAATCTTGCTGAATTCAATAAAACACTATTTTTGAATGTGTAAGAAATCCAGGGGAGTGCTTGCCTTTAACTCTGAGCATGTCATCTCATTCTAATGGGCTTTATTCATTTAATCTTTGATAGGCTCAAGTTGGCTTCCCAGAAGTCACCTTAGGAATTCTTCCTGGTGCAAGAGGAACCCAGCTTCTCCCCAGACTCATTGGAGTTCCTGCTGCACTTGACTTAATTACCTCAGGTCAGTACAAACCTTGCCAACAACTGTCTAGATCAATGTGAAGAACTGCACTAGGATTTAGAAAAATCCTGGCTTGACCATCTACTACTCATGTAGCCTTAAGAAGATTCTTTAACTTCTTTGACTCTTGGTTTTGCCATCTGTAAAATGGAGAGAATACACTCCCTGGGAGCTTTTCAAACATTGTCATGAAGATCATATGTGAGGGCATCCTAAGTGAAAGTGTTTGTAAAGCACTAATCTAATTTATGGTTTTATTATAGGTCAATTGACTGTTCAGAGACATTGGTGTTCACATAGGGTACATTAGAAATTTAGAAATTGTAATATAAATAAGAATTGTAGCCAGAATTTTTAAGGCAAGATTTTCAAGTTTTAATACAGAAATGACTGAATTTTTCATTTCCAAGTATTAAAATATTAGCTGAAAATGGAAGTTCTTTTTCAGCTGGGAATATAAACAACACTAGACAACATTTAGAGAACCTGGATTTACCACGTACTTGTATGACATATAAAGAGACTTTCAGTTGTGGTAATGTTAGAAGAAAGAACATATACAACTATTTACTCCAAACAGGTGTTGTTATTAAAAGACCTTGGGTCAGTCACTTTGCCTTTCTGTACCGTAGTTTCCTCATAAATGTGGATAATAACGAACATATACAACTATTTACTCCAAACAGGTGTTGTTATTAAGAGACCTTGGGTCAGTCACTTTGCCTTTCTGTACCGTAGTTTCCTCATAAATGTGGATAATAATAGTACCTACCATGTGGTGAAGTTTAGATAGATTAATACATACAATGTGCTGAGAACAGTCCTAGACATGGTAATAACTCCATAATTGTTAGCTGTATATCATTATTCTCATGTCTATCTTAATAAGAGAGGAGGATTAAGTAAAAATAAGATGTGCATCTTGATATTAGACTATATCCGTGTGCTGAGAACAGTCCTAGACATGGTAATAACTCCATAATTGTTAGCTGTATATCATTATTCTCATGTCTGTCTTAATAAGAGAGGAGGATTAAGTAAAAATAAGATGTGCATCTTGATATTAGACTATATCCTGAAGAAGGGGCAATAATAAAAAGAGCACAAGCTTTAGAATCAAAGATCTGGGTTTGAATCCCAGCTTTACCACATATAAACAATATGCCTTATGCAAGTTAAGTTTTATTCATTCGTCCAGCAACTATTAATTTTTTCTCATATGCTGGGCCCTGTTCTAGGCATTAGGCCTATAGTAATGAACTGAACTGACAAAAATTCCTACCCTCATAGAAATTATATGGAGAAAACAACAATCACAACAATAATCATCATTGTCATATTTCATCAATTCAAAAATGCAATTTTTTCCCCACATGTTTGAAATTGAGATGCTTCTTACGTTCATTATGAGTCATGGTTTAATTGGCAGTGTTTTTTTCTTTCCAACTGTCTGTGGGTCAGGAATTTGGAAGAAGATTATTTGAGTTCTAGCTCAGAGTTTCTCATGAGATTTCAGTCAAAGGATCAGCTGGACCTATAGTTATCAGAAGGCTTGACAGGGGCTGAAGGATCTACTTCCAAGACAGCTTACTCCCATGAATGGCTATTTGGTGCTAATTGTTGGCAGGAGGCATCTTTTCCTTTCTACATGGATCTCTCCGTAGAGCTGCTTGAGTATCTTTACAACGTGACAGCTGGCTTCCTCTAGAGTGAATGACCCAAGAGAGAGCAAAGCAAAAGCCACAATGTCTTTTATGACATGTCTTTGGGGTCACACGCCATCTTTTCTGAACTATCCAATTGGTTACAGAGGTCCTTCCTGTGGGAGGAGGCTTGAAGACCAAGAGGCCAGACTCACTGGGGGTCACTTTGGAGACTACCAAAACCACATATACACACATATGCCTACCTATGAGATAAGTAGTGTATATAGTAGGTTAGGTGGAGATAAGTGCTAAAGAGAAAACATAAAGCAGAAAAGGGGGATATAAAATGTTAAGGAGGGAGATAGGTTAATATTTTAGGTAGGGAAGCTAGAAAAGGCTTCTCTACAATATGGTATCTGAATAAAGATCTGAAGGAGGTAAGGGAGCTTGTTATGCCAATATCTGAAGGAGTATATTCCACGTAGACAAAATAGCAAGTGCAAAGCTCTGAGGCAGGGGCATACTTGCAATGTTCAAAGAACAGCAAGAAGTTCAATGTAGCTGGAGTGAAGTGAGTAGGAGAAAAGTAGTAAGGGATGAAATCGCATCCTGTAGGGTCTTGAAGGTTATAGAAAGAACTTTAGCTTTTCTTCTGAATGGTGTAGAAAGGCATTGGAGGGTTTTGAGCAGAGAAGTAACGTGCTCTCACTTGTGTTTTTTACAAGATCACTCTAACTATTGAAAATATACTAATGGTAGACAAGGGCAGAAATAGGAAGACTGGCTAGAAGGCTGCCACAAAAATCCAAGCAAGAGAAGATGGGGACTTGGACTTGAGCAGGTAGTAATGTAAATGGTGAGATGTTGTGAGATTCTGGATATATTTTGAAGGTAGAGCCATCAGAGTTTTGTGACAGATCAGATATGAGATGTGAGAGAAAGAGGAGAGTCAAGGATGATTCTAAAGTCCTGGACAGCTGGAAACATGGTACAGTTACTAAGGTGGAGATTTCTGCTGGTAGAGCAGGTTTTCTGGAGGAATCATGAGAGCTCAGTTTTGGACATGTTAAGTTTGAGAGGCCTATTAGACATTCACGTGGAGATGTCAAGAAGACAGTTGGATAGACTGGCCTGGAGTTTAAGAGAGTGGTCTTCTGAACTCCTCCCAGCTTCCATTTTCTCATGGTAAAACAACCACATAGTTGTTTCAAGGAATAATGAAATACCATGACATGCTTCTGGTATAGCGCCTGTCACATAGAACATATTTCATAAATGGTAACTGGTAGGCAGAATAATCGCCTCCAAAGATGTTCACGTCCTAATCCCCAGAACCTGTCAATATGTTACCTTACATTCAAAAGGGCCTTTGTAGATGTAATTAAATGAAGGATTCTGAGATGGTAGATTATCATGGAATATCTGGGTGGGCCCTGTTTATCACAAGCATCCTTATAAGAGGGAGGCAGGAGGTTAGAGGAGAGAGAAGATACTATGCTGCTGGCTTTGAAGATGGAGCAAGAGGTCACCAGACAAGGAATGTAGGCAGCCTCTAGAGGGTGGAAAAGACAAGGAAACAGATTCTCCTTTAGGACCTCCAGAAAGAACACAGTTCTGCTGGGCTATTTTAGATTTCTGACATCTTAAACTGGAAGATAATACATGTGTGTTATTTTAAGCCTCTTAAGTTTGTGGTAATTTGTTACAGCAGCAATAGGAAACTAATACAGTAGCTATTTATGATGATGATATTAAGAATCTTCCTTTTTGGTTGTGAAATTTTTTTTTTCTAAGAAAGGATGTTAAAAAAAGATTAAACTGTTACTGAAAATTAAAGATTCCCTATGATATGAATGAAAAAACCCCACCAACTTTGTATGCACCATTCCCACAGGAAATTAATAAGTAAATGGATGTAGGTGGCTAACCTTTTCTGATCTTCTGAGATCACTAAAACAGGTCATTCTGACCCACCAACTTTGTATGCACCATTCCCACAGGAAATTAATAAATAAATGGATGTAGGTGGCTAACCTTTTCTGATCTTCTGAGATCACTAAAACAGGTCATTCTGGAAAGTAGAGTGTTTTCAACACCAACCACTGCTTCTCCACATTCCCCTTAAAATGCCATCTGAAAACAACCGAATCTTTAGCAGCAACGACAAAAGATATGCCTGAGCACGTTGCAGTTTGTTCCCTGATGTTCTCTGTCCAGTCAGCTGACAAGAACTCCAGTGCCTGCTCTTCCTTTTGCTTTTATTTTCCAGGTCCCATCCTCCTTGTTCACTGAAGAGCATAGAAGGCTTCTGCTCTACTCTCATAGAACTTTACCCCAGCACCAATGAATTTCTTTATGTTCATTCATAGGACTGGGAAGCCTTCAGGCTCTAGACTCTGGTGTGGGCTACCTCTTACCACCCAGAATACAGAGGGGAGGGGAAGGATGTTGGGAGTAGCACTTTTATCCTGCCTGCCAATTAGCTGTAGGTCCAATTGGGTTTTACCTGTATTTGAACAAAATATTGAGGGTGAGTTTTAGCTCTAGCATCTCAGGACTCCTAGGCAGCAATAATAAATATCAGCAAATATTGTACAAAGAGACAAACAAAAAACTTAAAACCAAAACAACCCAAAACCTAAAACCTATGAAAATATTCTATGACATTAGAAAAATGAAACATAAATGTGAGTTTGCTGAAACATTAAAGAAAACTAAAAATTTTAGAAAACTCACATTATTCTAAATTAGAAAAGAAAATATTTTATTTATTAAATAAGAACCCCTTGTTTACAATCAAAACAGTAGCCAAAATAATCTCACTTTGAAGCAATAAAAAGACATGATAGACTAGACAACTGAGTCAGCAGCATAGAGGATAAATAAAGACACATTTATAGAATTCAGAAGAATTTAACAAAAAGATAAATAAAATGTAGATGAGGGCAGCAGGCATATAACAGAGGTCTTTGCTGTGAATAAGAGCTCTCAAAACACAAAGTGAAAAGGTGAGAAGCAATAACCAAAAGAAAAAATAGAAGAAACTCTTAAGATATGAAATAGAATCAGAGATTATACTTTAACAAGCACACCATTTTCCAGGAAAATTGATGAGATAAAAATACTTTGATGTATTTTGTTAGTAAAGATTTTAAACTTCCAGAACATAAAATTCTTCAAGCTTCCAAAGGATAAAAATAAACAAAAGGTTACTTTCAAAGAAACTAAAATAACTCCAGCCACAAATAAGTAAATGCCAAACATATGAAATATTCACATACTAGGATGCTCTGTAGACTTTATAACGATAATCTAAATCAGGGGTTCTTAAAGCATGGTCCAGGGACTCCTGGGTGTGCCTAAGACTATTAGGGGGGCCCATGAGGTTAGAACTATTTTCATAATAATAAGACATTACTTGCCTTTTTCACATTCTCTCATAAGTGTACAGTGGAATTTTCCAGATACTATTATATGCCATATGATATCACAACAGATTGAATCTAGCTGCCTTCCATTAAGCCAGACATTAAATAAATTTGCACAAATATGAAAGAGCATTCTTCTCACTAAATTTTTTAAATTTTGTAAGTATAGTTATTTTGCAAAAAAATTATGTTAATGTAATGAGTTTATCATTGTTATTTTAAAATTAATTAATAAACACTTAAGATTCTCAGTTTTAATTTCTAAAATAGTAAATATCAATTGGTATTACATACATAACCAAAGCTTTTTGGAGTCCTCTGTAATTTGTAAGAGTGCAAAGAGGGTCTTGTCTTAGACCATTTTCTGTTGCTATTACAGACTAGCACAGATTGGGTAATTCATGAAGAAAAGACATTTATTTCTTGCAGTTCTGGAAGTTTAAAGAGTGCAAAGAGGGTCTTGTCTTAGACCATTTTCTGTTGCTATTACAGAATAGCACAGATTGGGTAATTCATGAAGAAAAGACATTTATTTCTTGCAGTTCTGGAAGTTTAAGGGCATGACACCAGCATCTGGTGAGGGTCATCCAATGGCAGAGGGTGAAAACAAGCACGTAAGACAGAGAGGAAATTGGGCCAAACTTACCCTTATAGCAAACCCAGTCTTGTGATAACAAACTCACTCCCACAATAATGGCATTAATCCATTCACCTCTTAAAGGCCCACATCAATACAAACATTCAAACAATATTGAGTCCTAAGACTAAAAAGTTTGAGAATTGCTAATAGAAATCTGTATGTTTTGACACAGAGACCTGATGCAAAACTGTATACATGAGCCAAATATGAAAAGAATTAGTCCACATGCATTAAAAATGACTTTTTTCTTTTAAATGGGAGGGGAGGAGTTATAAATTTATAGAATGTGAAAGGAGAGTTAGGAAAACTAAAAGTATTACATTTCTTTTCTTCAATAATAATAAGGTGAACTATTTTAAGTATCTAATGTAGAATTCATAAGAGGAGGCTTACAATCCAACATACTACAGAAATTCAAAGCACAGGAGACATTTACTCTTTGAAAGGCAAAATAGAAAGCAAAGAAGCATAAAATATAGGAGGAAATCATAATTAATGGTGTGGGATGAGTCTGTAAATTCTAAGGTTTACAGAAATTAAAGCATGTGGAGGAATACTGAGGAATTTTGTGGACATATTTTCAGTATTAAGACTGAAAGACAAGAGTATTTGGGGGGAAATCGGGAAGAAAACTGGCTTGACAGAAATGAAGTGAACTAGGATTGGCTTTTTTCCAAAGCACTGCTTAATGAAATATCACTATTTTTAACATGATGAAGAGAAGAGGTAAAAACAGTAAGAATGTGATGGATTTTTGATTTGCATAGAAAAAGTCACAGTGAATTTGAAGAAAGTTATCATTAGAATCATATACCTATCTTTTTGAGTAGTACACACAATTTTAGGGGACTTTAGAATGACATCTGGGAAAGGTTTCATGTAGAAAAAATATTTTAAGGTTGGAAAAGAAGCCATGAAGAAAATTGGAAAAAATTGTGTTTAACCAGCTTAAAGAAGTCTCAGCCTGGGCCAGCCCGGCAGCGCACTGGAGAGTGCACCGCTTGGGAGCGCAGCGGCGCTCCCGCCGAGGGTTTGGATCCCATGTGGAGACCGGTTCTCACTGGCTGGGCGTGGTGCGGGAGCAACACCGAGGGTTGCGATCCCGTTACGGGTCAGTAAAAAAGAGACAAAAAAAGGAAAAAAAAAAAAAGAAGTCTCAGCCTCAGTTGCTTCGGGGGTCTTCTTGTAGCAGATCTACACAGGGCTCTCATTTGACAGTGATTGTTGTATACACTGAGGGCAGCATAAGAAAAGACAAGTTTAAATCACAGCTTGAGGATTTGTATTAAATGTACACGGCCATGTCTTTACGTCCTTAGTTCTTTGAAACAGAATAAGAGTATTTGAAATCTCATTGAGTCTATAAGAATAGTGGTACTCTTTCATTTTTGTGAAATCCAAGGCAGAAGAAATGTAAAGCAAGGCAAATCATAACTGAAGCCAAAATGTTTCATTATTTTAGTTACTGTTTTAGTTATACTGAGTTTCCATTTATATTGTCAGAGCTAGGGCTTAGACCTTTCAAACCCGTTGTACAGACTGGGTCCCCAGACCCTTCACATGCAGGTCCGTGCTAGGTAATTGGGAAAGATTCTGAGAGCAGTTGGCAAATGACATGAGCTCAGTCCTCAGCAGTAGCAGCAGCTTACAGGTCCGGCAGTTTACAGGTCGGGCAGTAGTGGTGGCCTTGCGGAGGGTCCCAGAGGCACCAGCAGCAGTAGTGGCCTCCCAACAGCCCCCTGGGGGCATCCCAGGAGTGGGAAGTGGTGCTGTGGGTTAGAGCCACTCATCCTTTATACTTAAGTCCATAACCCAGGACACCTGGGTGCCCATACGCAATTACATTCAGTAGTAACAAGGAACACCTGAGGATATTTACAGCAAATGCTTGGCAAGGTTCTGAACATCTGAGAGGCCCTGACCATTTTCCTATATTTTCCCAGCAAGAAATCATTACAGTAGCGAAATTTTCAGTCTGTCATGTGGGTAGCTCACCTTCCCCTGCTTAGTTCCTCAAACATCCTTTTAGTGCCCAGGCTTCTATCTTCTATTTTGTGTCCACTTGGTCCCCTTAACCTGGGTAGGCTGATTCACTCACCCTTTACCTAAATGATTTTATATATGAAATACTTCACACTTGATACCATTTACCCACTCCCCACACCCCTCCTCATTCCAGAAAGAGATCTGGAGGGCTATTTTCAAAGGCACTTCCAGAAAATTGCCCAGATATTGCTTTTCCAGAGGGACCCCTGTCCAAAATCAGTGAACTGTCTGTCTGATCAAGAAAACCCATTTGTAGTTCTCTGAAGTACTAATAAGAACCAGGAATGGAGGGTTTGTCTCAGAGATGACATCCACCAATACTGTAAGAGCAGTGAAGACTGTGGGGTTGTTGACACCAAGACTGATTTAATGATTGCATTTTGGAAGGTAAGATGGTACTGGCAAGAAAGCAAGTGATGCGTCATTGTCTCTTCCTTCCGAACCTCTAGTAAGGCATGCTTATGTCCCCAGTCCCCTTCTTCAGAATATGCAAAGTACATATATACAGCTGGTGAAGAACTTCCAAGGCAGAATTTAGAAGCGATGTAAACCCTCATCAAACATTTGTAACCCCCTGGAGCTGATATTCTGTACTGGAGGCTGCCAGTGCCACCACCATCAAACGCTGGATGTTGCCACCTGTAAAACTGCTGCTGCTTGGTATCACTAACTCCAGACTAAAAGCCCTCAACGGAGCACTTAGCTCACCCACCTTGGGGTCAGGGGCCACACCCATCTTGCCAAGGGTTTCAAGAAACAATCATCTAATCATCTCTGCTTCCTTTTCAGCTTGTATAGTAGGAGGCAGGGTTCCAAAGCTCACACAATAGTGGTTCCACAAACTAAGGGGAAGTCAAGATGCTGAGTAGCCAAAAAATGGCAGAAGGCCACCCCATTTGTCTTCTGTAATTTTGACTATATCTTTTATAATGTTGACTTATAATTTTTTTCCTGTCTACCCAACTATATGTTTGGGGACTTTTAAAAAAAAAATCAGCTGTAGCCCCTGGTGTGTTCAAGGTGTACGATTGCTACTACTCTGCTGCTTCTACCCTATTATTGTCAAAAAGTCAGTCATTTTTAGGGGCCGGCCCAGTGGTGCACTGCTACAGTGCTCTGCTTGGGAAGTGTGGCGGCGCTCCCGCTGAGGGTTCGCGTGGCGGCGCTCCCGCCGAGGGTTCGGATCCCACATACAGACCGGTTCCCGCTCACTGCCTGAGGGTTCGCGCGGTGGCGCTCCCGCCGAGGGTTCGGATCCCACATACAGACTGGTTCCCGCTCACTGGCTGAGCGAGGTGTGGGAGCAACACTGAGGGTTGCGATCCCGTTGCCGGTCCCGGTCCGGTGTGGGCGCGACACTGAGGGGTGCGATCCGTTGCCGGTCACAAAAAAAGACAAAAAGGAAAAAAAAAAAAAAGTCAGTCATCTTTATATTTGTATACAGATGTATAGTTTATAAATTACTTCTAGAGATGTGTAAAGTATAAAAGGAAGACATCATTCTCACTTAATACTCAGAATTGCTGACGTAAGCATAATTATTCCCATTTACCAATGAGGAAAATTGTGGTCCTGGTGCAGTTCTTCATAGTCACACAAATAGTTAAAAAGAGCTGGAGCTTGAATCCAAGTTTTCCAGTTACCTCTGCAGTGATGTTTCTACTACAACAGCCAATGTGGTCCTTATTTATTTTATTTAATAATAGGGGTTTATATCTTGGATAGATAACCTTTTCTACTAGGTAGAGTAATGCCTTTGTTTTAATCTCCCGTAATTCTTTGATTTGTTTTTGTTTTGTTCTAGGAAGACATGTTTTTGCAGGTGAAGCCCTCAAGCTGGGTATTCTAGATAAAATTGTGAACTCAGACCCAGTTGAAGAAGCAATCAAATTTGCTCAGAGAGTTTCAGGTAAGAAAATAACAATAAAAATAGCTCACTATTGGAAACAAGCTAAATGTCCATTTTAATAAGGAACTCCTTAAATATCTTATGGTACATCCATGTGAAGGAATATGATACAGGTTAAAAATGAATGAGAAACTATATGTATGGTATAAACCCCATTATAAATTTTATTATTAAGTGAAAAAAAAAAGCATCATTGTATATAGTGGTTTGCTATTGGTTTAACAAGAAAGGGAGGATGGGATAGAATGTATATATGGGGAGAATGTACATATGTAACTATTTGTCTATGCATAAAATATTTCCATAAGGATTCACAAGAAATGGTTAATGTTTGCCTCTGGAAATGGGGCTGGTCAGCCAGTGGGAGCAGTTGATGGGAGACTTTACTGTTTACCCCTCCATATCTTTTGAATTTTTTATCACATGAATGTTTTTCCAATTAAGACACAGAATTAAAATTAAAACAAATCAGCAAACAAACACTTCAGGAAGTAGAAAGACAGGCTCTATAGCTCACCACAATAAAGCTGGGGGCGTCAGGAGCTTCTGTTTCAACTGAGTTCTATCCCTTTCCGTGGTTTCTCACTTTATGGACTCATGATGTTCCTTTAAGAGTTTGTTTAGTGGCACTCCTAAAGGGCTTTTTGTTTGTTTCTTTCTTTTTAAATGGTTCCTTTTCAATCTATGGAGGTTGTCATCTTTAAATAGGTAAGATGGAGTGGGTCAAAATTGCCAGAAAAAATAATTGGGAGGAGTGTTGTGTTATAGGCAGAAGAAAGTGCTGATATCCCGCTTGGTGGCAGGCAAAGGCTTGGAGTCATTCAAAGACATTTTTTTGAAAAAGTCATTCTTTTGTTAACCCTGGCAGAGACCAAACACTTTCCTGAAATAATCTTTCCTTTTTGTGGCTCTACAGTTACTGTTTCAATATAGCAGTAAAAGCTTGAACTATAGAGGTGAGGGACTATAGAGAAAATACTGGTGACTCCAGAAGAGAATCTTCAAGTCCTTGTGCAAATGGAAATGAATTATCTACTATTTTTCCTTGCCTTACAGACAGTCTTCACCACATTTTCATCATCATACTTCCCGGGAAGTTTTATTGTTTTGTTAGAAATCACTTGGTTGACTCACAGCAAAGGCTATTTGTGTTTGGCGGTCCCTAAATGAATGTTTGGTTTGGGTCTCAAGACAGGTCCATGTCTGTCATTCACACCGGTGGTTTTAGTTTGTAAAGACCTCAGTGCCAACAGAAGTTCTCCTTAATCGGTTTCCCTAGATTCAGATTTGGGATTTAATTTTTTAACTTTAAATTGGAAACTTTTAAATTTATAAAACTTAAAAAATGGTGTTCAATCTCAACAACATTACATGGTTTGTCCACTTGGTGGCATCCAAATACTGAGGCATCATCTGCTTTAAACCTTGGTAATTCACCTATCAGTTTTGGACTTTGGACAATTATGTATAACTATTTTAAGTTATAACCATGAAGACTATATAGAAATGTGTAAAATTGTTTGTGGTATAAAAATGTCAAAAATATTAAATTTACATATATTCTATAATTATAGCTACATAGAATATGTATGAATACAGATGAAAATTAAAAGGGAACATGCAAAAATGAAAATAAGTTAGTTTTCCCCCAAAATTCCTTAAATGATTTTTGCTTTTCTGATTTTTTTTCTAGCTTAAAATGTTAGTTTTCTCTAACATTTCTACATTATTTTTGGTTTTGTTTCTATTTTTTCCAAATGTATTGTTATAATTTACACACAGTAAAATTCACCCATTTTAAGTGTGGAGTTTGGTAAATTTTGGTAATTGTTGACAGTTGTGTAACCACTGCCACAGTCGAGATATAATTTTATGACCCTAAAAAGTATTCTCATGCCTCTTTCCAGTAAGTTCCCTTCCCTGCTCCTTGGCCCTGGCAGCCGCTGACCTACTTTCTGTCACTATAGTTTTATGTTTTTTAGAATTCTGTATAGACGGGCTCATAAATACAGTATGTAGTCCTTTGTTCTGGCTTCTTTCACTTAACATAATTTTTTTGAGATTCATCTCTGTTATTCCATGTATTAATATTTTGTTCTTTTTTATTACTGAATTGCATTTCATAGTAGGGGCAAACCACAATTTGTGGTTTATCCATTGATGGACATTTAGTTTTTTTCCACTTTGAGCCTACACAAGTCTTTGTAGATATATGTTTTCCTTGTCTTGGGTAAATACCTGAGAATAGTATTGCTGGGTTCTAAAGTAAGTGTATGCTTGACTCTTAAATACTTTTTAAACCTTTGACTGGTGAAAAACCATTAGTAATTTAAAAGACACTAATTTTTGCCAAGCAAATTGGAAAAGATAAAAATACAGTGGGATTAAATTTAAATAAGCTCTCATTACACTTCATATAATACATCCTATCTAGAGGGCGATTGGACAATCATGTAGTGAGGCTAAAAAGTGTTCATGCCTTTTGACTTAGTATTTCTATTCTTGGAATTAACCATATGGAAATAATCACAGACGTGCAGAAAGATTTGTATACAGTAATGCTCACTGAAGCTTTATTTATCATAGTAGAATACTGGAAACAACTCAAATATCCAGTTTTAAGAGATTAGTTACATAAAAGATAGTATGTTTCAATGAAGCAACTCTATTCAGCCATTAAAACTTACAAATTTGATATAAGTTGAGGAACTTAGAAATATTAAGGGGAAAAGAAAGCCAGATAGGAAACTTCACAAATGTGTGTTTGTGTGTTTGTGTGTGTGTGTGTTCATATAGGTATTTGCAAAAGGATAAAGACTAGGGGGTATAGCAAATTTTTAACAGTGGCTGTATTTGGGTGGTAGTTAATGAAGACTCTTGATTTTTAAAAAAATATTTATCTTTTCTGAATATCTGAGTCACTAAATTTACCCAAAGGAAACAGGGATGTCTGGCTAGTGTGGAGGGGGTGCAGTCTAATAGAGAAATGGGCTCAGGACTGGAAGTCAGGAGACCTGGGTTCTAGTCTGAACCTTAGCTATGTGGACCTTAACAAATCACCTTTTTGAGCTTCATTTTCTTCATCAATAGAAGGAAAGGGTTCAATAAAATTAGCTGGTTTCAAACCATGTTCTGACACCTCACAGGCTACAGGGGTTGGGCTCCCAGTTTTTTGTCCTTGCTACGACCCTAACAGCTCCACTGCGTCTGTTTTGGGGCTTAGTGATTAGAATCCCATGGAAAACTCTAGGACTTTTACTGTTTGTTTTTTTAAACAAGTTCCACTGTTTGAAACCCTATGATTTATTGGTGCTGCTTGGTAATAAATGCTAGAGATACATGATAGGGAGATAGGGCAGATCAATGAAGGACTAACTAGAGAATTTTATCTACATTCGCCATTTATTATCTTACAAAATGCGTAGTTTAGCTTGGCTTACTTACTTTGCCTTTCACTTTCACCTGACATCTTATGCTTCTCCTTTCTTTGTATGCTTCCCTGCTTTCCTTTCCTTTTCTTTTTTTTTTTCCCCCCCTTTGCTTTTAAATTTGGCTATTATTATGTGGTCATTTGGCAGAACAAAACTGATGGATTGACTTGACGGATAGGTTCCACAAAAATCCATATATTAATATTCAATATATATGCATTTATTATAAATAAATATGTTCATGTGTACAAAGCTATAGTTTTGTGAAACTAGTGCAATTGTCTTGGTTTAGAACAATGGTTCTCAAACTTTCTTGTGCATCAGAACCATGTGGAGGGCTTGTTAAAACATAGATTGTGGAACCCCACTCATTACCTTCTGATTCAGTATGTCTGAGATGGAGCCCCAGAATTTGCATCTCTAACAAGTGCCTAGCTGATGTTGACAATGTGATCTGGGGTTGATACTTTGAGAATGACTGATGTACAGAGAACAAGGGTAAGAATGAAGATAACTTTTTCTAGTTTTGACTTT